ACGTCGGCATTATCATTCTCCGGGGATTGAAGACGATGTTCGGGTCCATGCGCCCTGTCACCAGAATACCAAACAGCGTGAACTGCTGGGGATCGATCCATCAGCAAGCCATGATTCATGGAGCTTCAGCCACTAAAATGGCTCGATTTTGGGCTTTCCGTTGCATGGTCCCACTGGCTTAGCGAATCCCATTTTTTATGAAGGTTTACGAGTTTGTGCAACCTGTCTGTGCGACTTCGGCCAACCAATGGCAACCATATTATCAAGGGGGTTCAGGCTGCATGTCTGTCCAGTGTCGACTGTCAGTCTGTCAGCCTTCAGTGAAGACAATGTCCATGGCTAACCCTTTTTTCCGAGCTTTGACCCGATACCATGCATAACGATTTTGGTTGGTTCGTTAACGAGCGGGAGAGTCCTTTTATCCCCTCCGTCTCCACCATAAATGGCATAAAAGGTACTATAGAGCTTGGCGCTTATAGCGTACTTTGGAGCTCATATTTGACAAACGCTGGTAAGGCCGCCGTTGAGACCAAAAATAAGAGCTGATGATTGTCAAGGCTCTTCTCGATCTTTCGGCCCGTCGCGTCACGGTTCAAAATCAATGCTTTCTTGAATTACTCTCTTTCTCGTGCGCCGCCAAATATCAATCCTGTTCTTCCTAGGATTCCCAATTCCGCAACCGTTCACTTAGAATTATTATCATGTCACATTACGCCTCAGATACGCCAAAGACATTTGTCCTGTGCTTTGATGGCACGGGGAACAAATTCAAAGGCGATGACTCAGACAGCAACGTTCTTAAAATTTTTCGCGTTAGTAATAATAAAATAACCAGTTATTCTCGCACTAGTTTGGAGGAGGAATACTAACCTCCGTGCTAGATGTTGGATCGAGAGGGGCAGCAATTCCACTATTATCAGCCAGGAATTGGGACCTATGTATCGTCAACGACAGTGGGAAGTTCGGGCGTCTTTTCACGCATCAAGCATTCTTTCATAAAGGCAAAGGACTCAGCCATCGGGTCCTCTTTCGCTCACCATGTGTTGGGAGGATATCGTTTTCTTATGCGGTACTATTCACCCGGCGATGACATATATTTCTTCGGGTTTAGTCGCGGGGCATATACCGCTCGTTTCCTTGCTGAAATGCTTGATTTTATCGGCCTTCTCAGCATTGGGAACGAAGAGTTGGTCCAGTTTGCCTGGCAAACATTTGCAAAATGGCAGCAGCGTGGTGACGATAGCGAAGAAGACATTACAGAGAGACAAAAACTTTTCTGCTTCATGAAAGCGTTTCGCGAGACCTTCAGTCGTCCAGTCGAACGAATACGATTTCTAGGCTTATTTGACACTGTCAACAGTGTTCCAAAATTCGAGTCTCCCTGGATGGAGCGAAGCAGGTTTCCCTACACAGCGAGAAGCACTGCCAAGGTTATCAGGCACGCAGTTGGTATCGACGAAAGGCGCGCCAAGTTCCGTCAAGATTTAATTTCTGAAAACCAACCGTCTAGAAAGCGTGCTTACTCCCGTAACCCTCCTCCCCATGAAAAGAATGGAACAAAGCCTTCAAACGGCGCTAGTTCAAAGCAATCGAGTCATTTCGCCTCCCACCTATCTACCTTTCAATCAGAGAACCGATATCGTCCCTCCCATCGCCGTTACCCAGTGTCCCGTCGGTCTAGCTTACCTATCCCGACTCATGATGCGCCGGCCGACTCCACGGGGCCCACGGACGAAATTTCCCCCGTTGCTCCAGCGGCACCTGACACTGATTCAGTCGAATCGGACCAGTCCGTTCAAGATATCCAGGAGGTTTGGTTTCCAGGTGGCCATGCCGACATTGGCGGCGGATGGAACCACATGCCCGGCGAAATATGGCCACTCAGCCATGCACCTCTTGTCTGGATGGTCCATGAAGCGCAACGCGCGGGATTACAATTTGACGAGCGCAAGCTGAAGCAGTTTGAGTGCGCCGTCGAGTTTGAAGGTGAAGTCACCCCAATACTGAGCGGATGGGAATTTCACCAGACACCTCCAAAAACTCAACCAGAGATCAAAATTGAAGGGGAGCCTTGCACGGAGGTGCACACCAATGGAGTTACGCATCAGTCTGATTCATGCATAAGCTTCCACAGAGCTCTTGAGCTCTCCAGTACCAAGGGCCACCTCCATGACTGCCTCAGCTTTAAAGCAGGCTTGTCGACAATGTCGGTGTTAAGTTGGAACGTGATGGAGTATCTTCCATTCAAGCGAATGGACCTCCAGGAAGACGGTTCATGGACCCCTATCCGCTGGCCCCTTCCCCGTGGAGAAGTGCGCGACATTCCATTGGGAGCACATATTCATAATAGTGCGATAAGGCGGATGAAGGCAGACCCAAAGTATCGCCCCGGCAACTTGATTATTGGTGGTGGCGGCCGTGGAGTGAAGAAAGCTCCCAAAGCTTTGGGTATGGGCGCCTGGGTTGTTTCCGATTATGAAGGCGACATGGTCAGGGAAACATACGTGAGGGAAAGCCTGTCAAAGAATGGGTCACAGAAGAACGGCGTGCAGAACAATGGGGGGCAATAGGCGATTGGATTCTATTACCTTTCGGTTTCATTTTTTTTATTTTTCACTTCACTTTTTGTAACTTTTATATACCCTTCCTTTTTCCTTATTCGCTAACCCTTTGGGTATCAGATTGCAGTTTTAGTACCCATTTAATATTTATTAATACCCATATGCCTAAAACCATTTAAGAAATTGCTAGCTGACTGAACCATCCACGCCTTATGCTTGCTTATTCATGATTATACCATACTGCCCCATCACATTAAGCAATAAGCCCCATATACCATGGCAGAGGACAAAGGACAGTCTCAATAAATCTCAGACTCTTCCGCAATCACTGGTAAGCGCCCATTCAATTATTTTGTCCAACAAAAGGTAGATGAGTAGGTATGAGAGAATGATTTTGAAAGAGAGAATCACTCCCCCCAAAAAGTGAAGTAGAAATAAGTTTCATAATGAAATAGCTATGAGAGTTAGAAAAGAATATGAAATCAGAGGTGAGGGAAACATTTCTCCCAATTCCTACTTATTGAAACATTCTTCGGCCAATCCACAGCTCAAGAGTCCCGGACTTAATGAGCTCTGAAACTCACATTAGTACAGGCACACTTTGCCTAGATATATACCAGCCGACCCAATCATATATCCCACATATTCGAAGATATTGCGTACAACCTCCAGTTTGCTGATATGTAGATCAGGGTTTCTCGTCCTTCTACCTCCCCCAATATCCTCAGTAAGGACGACATATGCCTCCAACTCGGAACCGCTTTATAGCCCGGGTGTAAGAGAGGTGAATGCAGGGACTGTATAGTCTAGAGACCAATCTCTGTGGCGACTACGACAGTGACTGGGTCACTGCATGGCCACCGACAGAGATCAAGGCAAAAGCCGATATAGATGACGTTTTTGCCAAGGTTCACGGACCTGCGACTTTCTCTTTGCATGGCTGTGCGAGACCGACGATACAGATCAAAATGTCGATGCTTCACTCCAGTGCTGGCGGCCAAATTGGAGCTTGGACTTGTATTAGAGCGCGTCCAATAAGTAATCAAGTTGACCAATTGAAAAACCTAGGGATTTTGCAAACATTTTCATAATAGACAGTCATTCCTTCACCCTCTTCGATCGTAACTCGGGAGCCAATTCCAGCGCTCCGTGACAACTTTTGATATGCTCCAGGAATTCAGGCTTTGATCTCGCACGCTGGCGTCGCCCAAGAAGCACATAGTAGGTTGAAACCTCCGGAACTGATAGCTGAGTAACCACATCGGAAGCAAGCTGGCCGAATCGATAATCCTCCCACATCAGAGCACACCCTCGACACCAAAGACCGTGTTCAACACTTCCGTCTGGCTGTAGGGAGGGGAAGGGAACAGAAGCCATGCCACAGTATCGGTCCCTAGGAGCAATTTCCTGGGACGGTAAAGTTGAAGGATTCTGGGATAAAGGCTCCAATGGGGCATCCAAGAGGCTCTTATATGTATGAAATTCCCGAATCCTTGCGCCCCCTTCTCCCATAACAGGCCCAGTAGGGGCTATGGCGGCAATCGACCCATGGATTTTGATTGCAACCTCCTTTGCGGCTCTTACGCTGACAAGTCGTACTTTTCGCTTGCGTGAAACATGGTGACCAACCGAATAAGTCCCAGGAATACCGCACATAAACGGTACACCCTCTAATTGGTGTTTTGTAAGTTTAAAGCACTTTTCAGCCATCGAGGTAGGGATGACCCAAAATGACTGGTTGCGGTGGAGGCATTCATAACAGCATCGTTCGCATGTCGGAAGGAATATAAAAGGGCCAAACTCTCCGCAAGAACGACATCTCTCGGACAATAGAGCTTGATATAGCGTACTTGTTGAATGGAAACGAATGAGGCGTGTTCGAGCCAGCGCACCTAACATGCGTGGTGCGTGCTGTACCAGGCGGTAGTATCCCGGCAATGATTCAACCACGGCTTTACCGCGGAGAGAGACGCAACAGATGCGCGACAAAGACTGAAAATCCATCACGTTGAAAGTAAGATATAGTAGCTCTAGTGGTAAGACATCGAGGGAACCAAGGGAAGACGTTCTGGCATCGCGTTTTATTGATAGGAACCGCGCAGGCTCATGGATTCTGATCATGGATTCGAGGAGATGCTCAGGCCGACAGCTTAGACGCGAGAGAAGATCTTCCGAGACACATAGGTCGCTCGCCATCATAGAGGACTAGAAAAAGGCCTGCAATTATAGAGATAATACTTTTAAGTTGAGCGGTTGTTGGAGTTGATAGACAAGTTAGGGCTTCAATAAGGCTTATGTAATCGGTCTCGAGCAATAACGGCACTTGAAAAGCAGGATAGTCTCAGTTTCGCTGCTCCTTACTGTTACGGAGATACTATCCAGCTATTTGAGCAGTATTCTAGGCCTTTTAAAAAAAAACGGAGCAAAAAAGTAAGCACAAGCTCCAACCCTGATTCGAACAAGGGACATTGCGATATTAGCTGGACTGCAATCGCACGCTCTAACCGCTGAGCTACTGGAGCTGCTTTGCCACAGGACGATCCTTTTAGGTTATTTGTGGGACGGTTGAGTGGGATTGTTTACGTAATACGCCGACCCCTTTGTTGAGTTTCAATATCAGATTCTCCTCAGGGGCAACATCACCAACCACCAACAATGGCTTTGACGGCAACGTCCGTCCTCCACCACAAAGGCTGGTGGCGTGTTATTACAGCCGGTAGTACGGTTGTCTTGTTCTCCCTTTTCTTACTCCACGCCACTGTAACAAATTGCCAGTTTCCTCCTACCTGAAATTGGACCTTTCCCTTGATTCCTTTGATCAGTGTCTAGGGCTGGTGGAACATGCCAGGACTACAGTGGAAATGGTGAATATTTGCAAGAATGAATTTCCATCACTGGTGCTACAGCCCTCGGTGATGACAGTTGGCCGCCACACATTGCCAGGTAATTTTCCGGCACCGGTGCGAAATATATATATCCGTGGGAGCACTGGGGAAATCTGATACCCTACGGCTTCTGGTCGTTGGGATACATACAGTCCAGCCCATCAAGTCTTCCACTTTCGTTGATTTGGCATATGTAAGAACTTTCATGACCAGTTGACTGACTTGTCTCTTTTGTTATTTTACCACAATGAAGGGCTTCGCTCTTCCTTGCTATGTCGCCCTCCTCTCCGGAATCGTTCATGCCCACATGGAAATGTCAGAACCACCACCGTTAAGGAGCAAATTTATGGTACCTCGTCCTAGTAATGTGGACGACAGTTACACGTCACCTCTATTGGCGAACGGATCAAATTTTCCTTGCAAGGGATACCACGCCAGCGGACCACTTCAGCGAACAGCGGAATACGCACCCGGACAAGAATACCAGATGACGATTGCGGGATCAGCAACCCACACTGGTGGCTCATGCCAACTGTCTTTATCAGTTGATCAAGGAAAAAATTTCAAGGTGATCAAGTCCATCATCGGCGGGTGCCCCGAAATAAAGCGATCATACAAATTTGTCATTCCTCCAGACACCCCAACCGGCGAGGCCCTATTTGCATGGACATGGTTCAATCGTGTCGGGAACCGCGAAATGTACATGAACTGCGCCCAAGTCACCATATCTGGGGGAAGCAAGCCTCCATCGAAACGCGATGGCGCCTCTATCGCCTTCAATGACCGCCCGACCATTTTCCTAGCTAACGTCGCAATGCATTCGCCTTGCAAAACCTATGAAATGAAGAGTGTGATATTTCCAGATCCAGGACCGGATATTGAACAGGACCAAGCATCGATGTCTGGTCAGGCAGGGACGGGGTTCTGTTGTAACCCGGCAGGATGTGTTGAAGGACAGGCCCCCGGCGGCGGACAGCCAAATCCCCAACCAGCAATACCGCCCGCAGGATCGCCAGCACCACCACCAGGAGCAGCATCACCACCACCACAAGGAGGATCACCACAGCCAGGAATACCACCCAAGCAAACCCCATCCCCGATCCCATCCCCAGCAACCCCACCAGCCCAACCCCCGCAATCCACCCTCGCCACCGTCCACACCCGACCACAAGGCCACCTCCACCCTTCATTCATGGCCAACAACCCCCCGTCGAATCCATCCCCCGGTCCGTCGCCGGGTCCAGCCCCATCCCCAGGCGCAGGAGGAGGCACCTCACCCAGCCCCGCTCCCATACCGGCACCAGCACCCAACCCCGCTCCCGCGCCTCCATCGGGAGGAAGCCCAGGCGCTGCAGGCACCTGTGCACCCGGATCTATAAAATGCGACTCCCAAACGACATGGTCCATGTGCTCAGGGGACGGGACGCATTATATCGCCATGGGATCTGTGGCTGCGGGAACAGCGTGCAGGGATGGGGCTATTGGGCGGGAGTAGATTGATAGGATGGTTCTCAAATGCGGACGGAGTGCGGTGACGGAGGAGGGGGGGATATAACTGCAGACCCCTTTTTTGAAGTTTTCTTTTTTCGGGAATTTAAAAGAAATTGGTTTCTCTCCCCTGTTTCCCCTCGTTTGGTTTATTTCCTGTTTTTTTTTTCTTTCTATTTCTGTACCATGAAAACGTTGGCGGTTGGTGGTTTGGTCGATTTATATCTTTTCATTTTGGAGCAGGATCTCTTTATCCCCATTTTCCAAGGATGTTTTCTTTTCTTTTTGACATGGTTGTGTATATATGCCAGGTTGCCAGGTTGCCAGGTTGCCAGGTTGCCAGGTTGCCAGGTTGCCAGGTTGCCCCTGAATGTTCATATGATACCCACGAAGTCGAAATATTTTGATATGAAAACTATGTGTGTACACGCTAGTCAGAGTTCAAAGAATCTCATCTCCCCCCCCTTTTTTTTTGTATAGAAAAAAATTCATTATTTTCTGTTACTTTTCTTTCCTCGCCCGGGCTAACTATATTATGATACCTACACAAGCAGGCAAGGTAGTTTCCTCCCTAGCACATGGGATAGCTTCTTCAACTAGCCAGCTAGCCAAACCAACAGGATTATATTTTTCTAACAAACAAAACACTGCATAGCACTCCACAAAACCAAAACCAAAACCAAAACAAGAGCCCGAAATTTAATACTATTAATACAATTATGATATGTTATGCCCCGGCCAGGCCAGGCCAGACCACTGGCCCGCTCGCTCACTACCGACAATTGCCAATCTACTCGGAGCGTCGAAATCAGCAGGGCTAACTAAACTGTACACCTATACATACACACGCATGAAGCTAAGCGTCATTAAAGAAGAGTAGCATTAATAACCCTTAAATGCGCAAAAACAAAAGCCTACCGGAATGTATCATTTCATCAACATCAACATCAGGGCTGTTGAAAAATAAAACCCCCCGCCGGCGTTCCCCCCCCTTAAAAATTCCTTCCCGGAGTCGACGACGATACAGGGAACTGCGCAGTCTCATACTGCGGACCACTCCCGTATCCATGCGAATAACCCGAATCCGCGACTGCGCTCTGTCCATATCCGTAATTGGCATATCCAGATCCTGTACCCCGTCCCCTAGCACTACCGGGAGCGCCAGAAGTAGTTCCCCCTACCCCATTCCCAACGGCAGGCATAGGCGCGGTAGCAGCGCTGGGATTATACGCATACGCACTATTCCCGTACCCATTATACCCCTCATCATGAACCTTCGGGTCTGTGGCGACAGCCGTTGACTTCTTCCCGCGACCGAAGAACCCTCCATAGCGTGATGATGGGGGCTTTTCATACGGTTCCGGACCATTCTCGCCATTCGTTTGGAGTGGGTAGCTGCCCACTGCAGCTCCAGAGGCGGGGTCCGTATCTGTGGGGGCACCACGGCGACGGCGGAAGGACCAGAAAGAGCGTTTGCCGTAGTCGTTTGCGGGGGAGGGGCCGTAGCGCTTCGCGCGTTTGTGGTGGCGAGCGTAGAGGACTTGAGGGTAGAGGGATAGGGCAAAGAGGATGCTATAACGGAGAAGTTCAGTACTGTGGAGGACTATAAAGCGAATACAGGTATTAACTCACCACCCGATGATAGCCACAGCAAACACTCCTTTTTCCAACCTGCACGCAAATCCCAGATCCGGCATATAGGTAAAATTCTTGCCATCTCCGGTACCGAAGCCTCCCTTGCCATAGCCTGCACCGCCTTTCCCAGCCTCTCCACTTCCCAGAGGCGTATTAACGAAGCCAGAACATGTCTGTGTGCCATTCCGTGTCATAGCTGCAATAGCAATGAAGGCACCAATGAAGCAAATATCGAGGAACATGCCTAGAGCTGCAAAGAACCATATCCCACCTATACAAAGCGTAAAAGCAGTAGCTGCGATTGTGTATGCCGTTGCCGCGCCAGCAAGGCCCTCGACGGCCTTGATCCACCGTACGATGTGTATATCATGGTCGGCAAGAACGGCTAGGAAGTATGAAAAGATGCCCAGGACAATGATGGAGCAACAGAGCTGAAGGACGCGGAGGATAAAATTGGTGAGGCGGATAAATGCCCCGCCGGCACTCATTTTGACGGTCTGGGACAGTCAGAGCCGGGGTTGTGTTGGTACAAAGAAGATAGTAAACAGGAGATCAAGCAGTAACAACGGCTATAGTTCCAGGATAGCCTATACAAAGAAATGGGTATGAGGAAAAGATAAAGAGAAGAGGGCCACCGTCTCAGTCTGAAAACCTGTAACATCGAGCATTGTGGCTGTGGGGGTTGTCCTCCTGTTGTTTTCTCATAGAGTTTGGAGCTCAACAAGAAAGCGCCACACTTCGCGAATTCATGACGTCATCCCCGCTGACTAAGTCGATCATTCGTCATCCCTGCAAGCAATTTAAGCTCCAGCAAGGTTCTCGAGTTTAAAAACCGGAATGTTCGGAGTAGATATTTTCGAGCTTGCGAGGAACATGCCAGCCATCTTCTTTTGACTTTCTAGCTCGTAATTAGCAATAGAACTCAGAGATCCCATGAGTCGTCTGAATTCAAAATGGGCCATGCATGGCCATGGGCAACCCATCTCCACTGGGCTTACGTCAAGGGGACCCGGTTCCACAGCGTTCCCAGAAGAACAACAGGAGAATCTATTGAAAAGAAAAGAAAATAATACAGACAAAACAAGGGAAAAGTGTGGAACCAGCAAACATATCCAAACCATACACTCATGTATGCAATTGGATTGATCTCATCATCATTTCGGCAGTTTTTATAATACCTGTTTCTAAGCTTCAAAGCAACTCCCCAAATGCTTCCCGGTTCGATCCAATACAACCTCATCAACGCCAACCAGCCGTCTCTTTCACCCGCCTCACGTCTTGCTTGGCGTCGCCGCGATTGGGGTGTGGGGTATTACCCTAGAATGGGGAGGCGATATAGTTCTAGACTATCGCATCGACAGTAGCCCGTGTAAACAGTTCGTCGTCTCGCGGTGGATGGTCCAATTCGGGAAGAGCGCGATATATATGCGTGCGGGCCTCGTCTTTGAATAATGAAGCATCTTCAAGCCTCTCCAATCTCTCAATTGCCAGCCTTTTCCCTCCGAGATATCCCC